GTATCAGTTACATATCTCCTTTTTCGAAAAGAGTTTGAGGCGGAGATGAGCTATTTTATTTTCCAACGAGCGGACGTTGGAGAGCAGGATTGATGGAAGCAGTGGTTTGTGGGGATCTCTCTTAAGCTTCCCAGTTAGCCGCCCTCTGCAGCCCCACTTTCTCCATCGCCCGCATCTCTTTCTCAGTCCGTTATTTTCCTCTGTTTATCTTGTTTACATCCATCCGTAGCACTCTACAGCTTTTTAAACGGTCAAAAATGTCTGTATTTAAAACATTTTGTGACCGTAGCACCAGCAGGCGTTGGCGATCATAGATGCAGGTTTGATGTCTAGTTTGTATTGTTTTAAGCGGCATATTTTGTGAAATTGTCGAGAGGAGCTGCTCTTGGCCGCTTCCTTGGAGCGCCGCCATTGGTAACCAATAAATAAATGCAATAAACGCACAATAAATGCTCTGACTCCTCTATCAGAAAAACAGGCATATGCAGGAAATGCAGCTGATCTACCTATAATGTATTTATTGAATAAATCACATTACTTATTCATTTCAATTTAATATAAAAGTCTTATAACCATTCAGGTTTAAAGATTCAGCAATGTCTCATTGAACAGGAGAAGAATTTTACCTCTCTTGCAAAGATTTTTCCGCAAAGGTAATGGAGCGTTTTGCACATCTTCAAACCCTTGTGCTGTAGGTGATGGAGGTTGGATGTGTTTCTATGGGTACTCCTGACAGTTTTCAGACAATCTTTGCATTTTGTGTTATTTTGCTTAAGATCTATGGCGTAATTTTGGTGCCACCAACCTGAGTAAGAACAATATGCGTCGTTTAAACTCGCAAACCCTCATTCAAAACTGGTCTGCTGTGCGCTTAACTCTAACAACGCACTCTCGACTTCTCTGCCCGCTCAGCCTCATTTCTGTTCTTGCTCAGCTCCCCAGGATTAACTGATGTAATTTCATTTACAGCTGTTAGACGCTTCTTCACTGGGCTCATCCGCCATTCTCTTTGTTTAAGCTTCTGACCGGATCTGTGGAAATACGTGATTAGACACACACGCTGCAGTGTCTTACAGGGGAAGGAAATATCAGGCACCCTTGCACACAGGAAAACATGGGAGAATTAAGTTGATTTATTTTACCGACATGGGAAATCGTAGGGAATGATGGTAACGGTAAAAATCAGTTTATCGTCCTGACTTTGGGCGACGACTTACTGTTTCTGTTTGAACCCTGTTTGACTATTATTGTGCCTTTGAAATGAATGACACCAATAGACATTATACTGATTATCTTTAGAAACTATTCCTTTTATCTTTTTTTTTTCACTTTTTGCCAGCGAAACATATATAGCAACAGAGGAGTCGTTTACATTTAATCAACCCCCTGCTGTCAGCCATCATGATATCTTTTTTGTCAATAAATCGGGAAACAATCAAGAGCTTCCTCCTTTCCTGCTTAAAAACAAGTTTTAAGATTCGACTTGGACTCAAAGTCTCATATCATCTGGATTTCTCAAGTAGAGTTTTTCCTCAAACGATGTAATAAAAGATTTCAGAACAAAATCATAAAACCTACGTCCAACATTTTTATTTTATTGGCAACTGTTCCCTCTCGTTCTCTCTGTGCTTCATGCTTGGCTCTTTGTTTGGTAAATTACAGCAGTTACTAAAAAATCTTGCAAATATCCTGAAACTGAGGAGAAGAACAGTCTGTAAACACAATCTAATTCATCACCTTTGGACCAGTTATGGGAGAATTATCCTGCCATAATGCAAGAGCACATAATTTCAATTTGAGAAAAGAATTTCATCTTCTTGCACTCAAAACTTATAATGCTCACACTCAAAACATGCGCTCTCTCTCAAATATTTTCTCTTCTCTCTCAAATCTTTGTTTCTTCTGTCAGATTTAATGCTTCTTGCACAGATATTTTCTCCTCTCGCTTGCCTCCTTCTCTTCGTGCACAAACCGCGCTCTGCTCGAGTCTCAGTTACGCTCGCAAACCCGTAGGCTCTGCTTGCGGATTTTTTTGCTCTCTCACAGATTGGATCAGATCGTCGCCTAGCAACCTTTCCAGCCAATAGAACGACAGCCTCAGAAATGATGCGCTTGTCTAACTCTACTGAGTGTGCCTGTGATAAATAAAATAAAATGGCTTTTTAATTTAAAAGCTATCCATTTTCAGACGTGACGTGATGTGAACAGAAAACTCCCGCCTCAGAGTTGCTCGTCAGAAAAAAAAAAAAAAAAAAGTTTGCTAGTCAGGGCAGATGCTAATTCTGCCTCCAGCAGAAATTAAGTGACTTTTCATTGGTGATTCTTGAATCGCCCTTTATTATTTCCTTTTTTTATTTTCCTGATTGTTGTTGTTTTCCAGCTTCTTATTTTAATAGCTTTTAAATTAAAAAGCCAATTTATTGTCGGTAAGGTTTACCACAGGCACACTCAGTAGAGTTAGACAAGCGCACCATTTTGAGTGCAAGAAGATTAAATTCTTTTCTCAAATTGAAATTATGTGCTCTTGCATTATGGCAGGATAATTCTCCCATAACCAGTGGAGTGTTTGATACCATCAAAACCAGTGAAGTGTTTGAATATTTAAAGGAGATATTGGTTGGTTAATATAAAAGTACTCCTTTTTATATGCATTCTGAAGGTTGACATCAGGTTTCAATTAAATTTTCTGTTTTCTGTTGGACACCAAAGCATATTTCTACATAAATGGAAGTAAATAATACTTTTTATAAGTGAAGAATATGATTTGCAGTCTTGCTTAATGCTAATAATGGTCCTGGAAGCCTAAACAGCTTTAATCTTCAGCTCCCAGATCCCCTGCCTCCTGACCTAACATTAGCAGATCCAAACCCAAACCAGCTAACCAGTTGCTACACGCCTTGTCAACTCCTTACCCTCTTATGTTTTTCTTTGTCTCCATCTTTCTACCATCTTCTCCTCACTTTTTGACATCGTCAGCCCTCCCATCTCTGCTCTCCTGTATCATGCTTAATTATTGAAGTCAGCGTGTGTCTGCAGGGAGCTGCTCAATACCTCCTCATCAAAGCTTTGGTTTGTGTTTGCTTGTTTATCTCAGACTGCTATTCTAGGCGTTCTCCTCGAGCCCTGATGAGATGCAAGCCTGCAATCCCTACGGTGACTTATACTGTAAGCTGTCACTGCACCTTCAGTCAATCAGAAGCCTTCCTCAGAAAAAAGATGTTGTCTTTACTTCTGCGGCTCTGCATCGATGTATTGTTTCTGAATTGTGTCTGTGTGAATGTTTTTTTTTAGGTTTGTATGATGAGAAGCTGTTCCTATTTTCCAGAATTGCATTGTTTCCCTTTTTCTCTCTCATTTATTCCTGTTTCTTTTCCCTTCCATGGGAAGCACACAGTTTGGCAGGATTTTATACGGGACTTCTTCTGTGACCCCCACCCGCCCAGCCTTTTATACCTAGAGGGTGCCAGAAGGAATCCCTCTGGCATCAGGATGATAAGATTTCTACCTGTGATAACTAACACACTCAAAGGCCCTGGAAGAGCTTCCATTCTGAGGAAGCAACAATAGCCCTGTGCTGTGCTGAGCAACCCTGTGGGGAGAAAGTAGAGACCTCATTTATAGAGTGTGTGAGGTTTTTAGGTGTGTGTGATGTTGCTTCTGCACACATGGCACTGGATTTTTCCATAACTGACTACAGTGTCAGCCCAAAGTTTACGTCCACCTTACAGTATCTCGTAAAAAAAAACAAAAACAACAACCACAGGGTGCGTAACACTGCAACATGATAAAAATATATTTTTCATGCTTATAGGCATAAGAAAGCGTATTTGGGGATATCTCCTTTGGCAAATTCACCTCCACAATAACACATATTGTTACCATCAATAGGCGATCATGTTTCTGGCAGAGTTAATAGTGTTTGTTTGAAACTGTTTATCTTTAGGATATTTAATAAAAACAATGAAATTGTTGCTAGTGACACAGCACTAGAATTGTCTTTCAGCTTTAAGTTGTTTTCCATTGTGTGCGCGCTAAACAACGTTTTTTTTCTGCAGGTTTCATTGTTACGCTCTTATTTAACACCAAGTCAAGTTGTGTGATCTTTTGCAAAATGAAGCGTTTTTGTTTTTAAATAGATTATTTCAACGCCAATTACTTAAAACTTCAGTTTTTTGTGATGCTTAATATTTTCTTATTTCATAAGCCAGAGATTTCTTGTCTGTTTTTCCTCTTAAAAGTTTCTCTTTTTTTTTTTACAGCAATTTTCTAAAAGTAGAGTCCTTGTGTTCTTGTTTTGTTGTCGGTGAGAATGTAGGAACAATGGAGGATTGAGGAGTTGCTTGCTATGTAGGGCTCTTCTTTAAACTGCCTCTGAGTTTTGGAAAGCTCAAATATTTCCCTATTTAGTGTTTGCTGCAAGGGAAAACAAATATTCCCTCTGCTCCTTTTCTCAAACAGAACTTGTCTTGATAGTAGTTGGTGATTAACTATAGATCGGAGCAGGATGCTGTTGTGTTTTTTTTAGTTTGGACTGCGGGTCAGAGAAGTTCTGCAGTTAAGAGCACATGCGGCCATATTCCTGCCAAATTACACACTTTGCAAACTGTGAAGGCTGAACCTGCACCCTTGCCTCTGATCTTGCTCCCACTCATCAGCCTGCCTGCTCGGCCTCTGATGTAGCAGGAATGAGACTGTGGGAGTTTGGGGATTTGTGCAGAAACGCTCTTTGATTCTCCTCTTGCGATGACAGCCAACATTTACACTTACAGAGATGAAAACAAAAAAATCCGACTTGAAAGCAGAGAAAATTGACACAGCAACAAAGGAAAATACTCTGTTGGATTTTAGAGGAATTCCAAGGATGTTAATATTTCTAATAATTTCAGGAAATCAGGGGTAATTTTTTCCCGATCGTCCACATGATAAAAACCTGAATCTAACAGATCATATTTGATTAACCTCAGAGCTCTAAACTTTGATTCTGCCTTGGTTTGTGACAGGTGCCAGGATGGACGAGGCCGAGAAGTACAAACAGCGGCTGGAGGCCATTGCTGTGAGTACACACACCAACACACACACACACACCTACATGGCACAAAGCTTCACTCTTGGCACAGTGGACATTTTTCAATATTTCATTGAGTGTGCAGTGCAATGAAGAAGTGTGTTCATTATCTACTGAAGGCAGCAGTTTGCTGAGGGTAAATTAAGCTGCTCTTGATTTGACTGATTATAATGAAAGTAGCAGAAGATAAAGTTAGTATGTATCTGTTTTGGGATTTTATGTCATAAATATGTATTAAGTAGCCTGAAACTAAAGCATTGCAACTAAACACAGACATTTTGTGACAGATCATATCTGGGTTGAGTGCTGTGTTCTGCTCTCTTATGCTGCATTCACACCGGACCCAGCTGGCGCGACAGAAGCAGCGAGTTTACATGCAAAGTCAATGGTTGACGAGCGTCAAGGCGCAGCAAAAGGTCCTGAGCAGCAGGCGCAGCGCGTCTGAGCAGCTGAAGCAGCACGTCGGGCGCGTTTAAGCATCTGACGCGCGTGACGCGCCGCAAACGCGCTGCTGCTCTAGATGGAAAAATTTTATTTTTGCTGCTCGACGCGCCGCGTCAACCAATCAGAGAAGCTGATCTGGGAGCTGGCAGAGAGACAGACACATCACTGATGACACAGAGCGCTGTGATCGCTCCTCTGAAACAGTTTATTGACGCATAAATTAACTTAAAATGCAGAAATCTGCCGGCAGAATATGTTCGCTTTTATTATCCTGCTGCCTGCAGTTTGGATTATTTAGATGAAAAACACCTACCAGCTGCCGCGGTGAACCGCGAGGAGGCGACCCGGCCAGAGGCTGCTGATGAAGGGATTCCTACTGTGGGCGCACCGCTGGTATGTGGGGTCTGAGCGGCTCCGACAGAAATAATATTAGAAGGCAGGATGATAATCTGGATGAACTGACTGCACTGATGAAGTTTTCAGGTGGACTTTCTAACCTAAAACCATATTAAAACTACTTTATTCCCACTGATCACAGCAAATATAGCTGCAAGGCAAAGAAAGGACAGTGAAGCTCCGCCCAACACGCGTCAGACCCACTTTTGGACCGCGCAGCGAGAGCAGCAAAGCTGCTTCAGCCGCGCGTCAGAACTAACTGGTACAAGCAGCAAAAATGAAGCAGCTGATGTGATTTTGCTGCGCCTGCTGTTTCCGGTGTGAACGTAGCATTATTATATTGGTACCTGTTAGAGAATAGCTCCAGAACACCAAAACACAAACATCACTGTGCAAAATCATAAAATTTACAAACTGACACAGAAATGTTTATTTTGTACAAATATGAAAAATGGATCTAAAATCAGGCAAACAATATTCTGTTGGCATCTTCAAACCATGACCTCCGGCTTGCACGTAGAGCGCCCTTTAGAGCTGTGTAGTAGAGACCTCTTGGACTGGGCCTGTTTTCAGCTGTCATGGTTACCAGGCAGAGGCTAATTGGAGTCCTCTTATATTTTATCATCTGAGTGACAGCTGAAGGAAAAACTTTTGACCTGTTCTTTGTGTTGGTCCTACTCAACACACCCCATATATCACACAATCTGATACCTTACCAAAGCCCGTACCATTTCATTTATGAAGAACCTTAAAAACAGCAGCCATGCTGACCAAAGTGCTATACAGAAGTATAAAAAATGTTTTAAAGGAAGGCAGAGTAATGACAAGAAGAAGCAAAAGCAGATAAAAGAATAATAATGAGAGGAATTAAAGAACCCAGTCAAATAATAAGCAATCTAAGTTGACGTCTGGGGTTAAGAAAAGGAAGTGGAAGTGTTTATAAGAGAGCTTTTAAACAGCTAGTCAGAGACAGTTGGTGTTAAGGAGTAAGTGATAAAGCTTGTGATATACATGTTGGTCAGCTTATCTTTTAGTGGTGTGATTTTTCTGTTAAAAACTGTTATTCACAAACAACAAAATACCACAATACATATGTAACCCCACTCTGCTGTAGTTTATAAATTCAGGCTGAAAAATAACGTGGGGTTCGTCTGGTGTTATCTCTGAAATGAATATAAAATACTTTGGCGCTGCATCCAATACATCCTAAAAAGAAATACAGACATATTCGCCTTTTTAAAATAAAAGCTCAATTTAACAATTCTTATATCTATGTAGGTATCTACTTGTAGATCAATAAACAGGATTTGGTCAAAAAGTATTATTTATTACAAAAATCATGAAATCTAAATGGAAATCAGAAATAAATCAGAGAGGCCTTAAACAAATGGCTGCTTCACTGTTTGAACTAGCAGTAAACAAAAAGGCACGTGCAGAGCTTCAGAGTACTTATAAATCTGTACAGTCAGAGATGAAGTTTGAGAAAAAGAAACAAAGGGTAAGTTGAAGCTTCAGAGGCGGGATGGTGCAGCAACAGGTTGCAGCGGGCCACGTTCAAGAACAGCAGCTATAGTCTTTCGCCCACAGTCTAGGGCTCTCCTGGGACTCATTCTCTCCCTCTTATGGCAAATGTCTGATCCTCTGGCAGCTTCACAGAGTTCACACACACAAGCCACTGGATGCCTCTCTGTCAGCTTTGGAAGTTTAGAAGTTTTTCTAATGTATGTCAAAGATTGCTTGGACCCTGGAAAAACATAACCTTGCACTGCAAGCTGGATTATTGCGAGATCTGAGTAAAAAATAAAAGCTCATCTAAAAAATATATAAAAAAATGCTTTTGTCTATAGAGCTATGTCAGGAGAGTCTCAAACATCCAAACACAAGTTTAATAATAACTGCTACTTTGTGATTTAATTTATAATTGTTTATGGACCAGAAATATGTGCTGTGTGTGTGTGGAGCTTATCCTATGCATGTATGAATCCCATATGCCCATTTGTGAAAATTGAGACCAGTTTGGCTCCATAAAGAGATTTCCTTTTTTTGGTTTATTGAAATATAAAACAAATCTCAATTTATATTCCAAATGTTGCTAATTCCTTTTTGACATAGAGAGACACAGTATATATTTTGTATTTGTAACCCGGTGTCAGCCACTCATCCATTTGAAGGTGCTGCTGTCATTTCTAGGGTTCTGTGGCTATTATCGCAAATTCATCAAGAACTATTCAGCCATAGTTCATCCTCTCACTGATTTAACAAAGGGATACCCTCCTGTGAGGAAAGGGAAGAAAGTCACTAAATCTGATGTTGAGTATTTTCGCCAACTGAGCCCTCCGGCGAGCTTTGGATCCCTGCCTGTGCCAATGCTTTTAGTCAAATCATCCAATTTCTTACTAGTCCTCTAAAGTTGGCTTTCGCTGATACAACAAAATCATATATATCCTTGCCAGATGCTGTTTTTTCGTAACCTGGCAAAAGCCAAATTGATGTGTAGAACTGAATTGAGTTCTACGTTATCAATCTGGGATGGCTGCCGTTCAGTCTGTCCATAAAAGGAGGGACATTTAGTACAATATTTTGAGCTGATTGGGTGACGTGCCAGCTAGTACCCGCCTTTCATAATACGCTTTCAGCCAATCGTAGCGGCGTATCATGACATGTGTTTGTGGAGCTTGTGCATGTAAGAATCACATATGTGTATTTGTGAAAATTGAGACCGATTTGGCTCCATAGCTTTGCATTTTGTTTAATTTTTCCAAGACCAGATGTGTTCACTTATTTCATCAGAGCACTAAATTTGACAGGGTTCAGATATAATTTTCATGTTTCCTCATATGCTTCTGAAAAGAAAATCAAATGGCTAAAATATACACTGACCCACGTGTATCTTACAGTCAGAGAAAGCTATGTCTCCTAGAACCTTCAAAAGGCATCAGACTCCCATTGGCATAGTAGCTGGTCATTAGAAATGTTTGGGGAGAGACAGCAAAAAAGAACCAAAGAGGCAAAGCCTTCAAGCCATTAGGCAAACACCTTAAAATGAGTGATGAAAAGCGTGATGGAAAACGGAGGAAGACAAACAAAAACACACTCTGAGTCCAGAGTAACTAGCTGCTATTGAAGCAGCTCTATTCATTTGTTTGAATGATTTGGTGAAAGACCAGACCTCCATCTGTAGCTGGCTCACAGGAACGCTGCGCAGCAGCAGAAGCCAACCAGCTTGAAAGGAGCTAGTTTTTTTTAGCCCCCACCCCTCCCGCATAAGAAACAAAAACAAAACAATCCCTCAGCTTGAAATGCCAAACATAAATGTGCTGACAAATAAAATCAGTTTGGGTTTAGATTAGTTTTCTATGTCTTCATTTCATAATTAAGAATCTCTTGCATTATCAAAACTGTACATGTTTTAGGCTAATTAAAAATGATACAAATTGGCCGAAAATCTATTTTGAATCTGTGTACTATAAAAGAAATAAATACTTTATTAAGACTTCATAAAGTCTTCAGCATAAGCAGGGAAGTTATGGTTAATCACAGTCTTATGGTCTTTGGAGTCTGAACTTTTAAGTATTTGCCTCTGCTGTGTTTTTTGTCCATTTCCAGGAGAAGCGCCGGTTACAGGAAGAGCAAGACAAAGCCAGGAGAGAAAAAGAGGATGAGAGGCTGAGACAACAACAGCTCAAGGTCTGATCCCGAGGATGATTTAACTTGGCCTGCACACACACACACACACACACATACACACACACACCCCTACTCGTTCTGCTATATTTAGTGAGGACCATGTGTTGACTCCCGTTGACTTCCATTGATTTTCAACCCTTTCTATGCCCTAACCCTAAACCTAACCATTACCAGTCCATACCTCACCCTAACCCTAACCCAATTACACCTTAGCCCTAAACCTAACCATTAGCAAAATAGCGAGGACCAGCAAAATGTCCTCACTTTGCAACACCTGGTCTTCAATCTGATGGTGAATAAGGGCTCGACAGGTACAGCCACACACACACACAGAGACAAACTTGCCTCATTATCTTTGTGGGGCCTTTTCAATGACTTCCATTAATTTCTACAGTATAACCCTAACACTAAACATTATGGGTTCCTACCTAACCCCAACCTAAACTCAATTCACACCTTAGTCCAAAACGTGACCCCTGACCCAAAAACAGCAGTTACCTGCGTGGGGTCCAGGCATCAGCCCCACAAGGAGCAGTCGGTCCACACAAGGTGCCATTTTCCATGATAAAGGGCCCCACATTGTTTTAAAAGCAAGAGCACACACACAAGTTTGTTTTCTATCAGGATTAAGACTTATTGACCTAAACTCATTTTACTCCATTTATGCCTAACCCTTACATTTACTCTAACCATTATCAGTATGTTCCTACTTTTCTCTACCCTAACTGAGGGGAGCAGCTTTCACTGATGCTAAGCGTTGTGCATAAGTTAGTATGTCATTGGACATAAGTTCTTGTCTTGTTATGAATACGCTATGTATACGCTCAAAATAAAAAAAAAAAAATACATAGAAAGTCCAGCATATGACAGCGTCTTAGGGGATTCTGGGACATCAGGCATGCGCTATCTAAATCTGCAAGATGTGACAGGGCCCTAAATTTAATTTACACGCTCTCTACATGATCTCTAAACTGATTCTCTAAGGTCACAAATGGGGGTCTGCCACATTAGGACCAGCATTCATTCCCCTCAAAGCCGGTTGGTCCTCCGAGGGTTAGTAAATATACCAAAAAACCGTCCTAAAAACAGTAGCTTAAACACATTTACATCTTGCTTCTATTTCACTCTGCAAACATCATCTGTTTATTTTCTGCATCTTGTTTGCACACCAACCCATTTCACACATTCTGTCTACACGCTCACATAGATGACCTGTAACTATGACCTGTCATGTTTCCTGGTTCGGCCTATGACTGGAATCCTAAAGGCACTTCTTTCTTTGCCAGTTTTTTCTTTTTTTTATGTGACTGTTTACACACTCTGCAAGTCACAGCGCTACTCTATTGTTTTCACATAATTTCCAGACTGCCGTTTCCGCTTCCTATTGCATAGTTTTTTTCAGCCCTTTGGCACATTCCTCAAATTTGTGCAGAATTTCTGAGTTGTAGAAGTGTGCTATTTTTTTATATAGTTTAGCTATGTGTATGGTATATCATGTGAAGAAGCATTGCCACTGCGAGCATACCTAAGTAGTCCCTGCTAAATCACAATTTCAGGTTAAAGATATTGCAAAATATTTGAAATATTAACATTGAATATCATTCTTGATAAGTTCAATCTAAGAGGTTTTGCCATTACTGTATTTGGTGGATTCATTTGCTTTAGAATTTAGTCTCAATGCAGCAGCTTGCATGTAGCTCTTGCCCTGCAGGAAACAGCAGAGAAGGTAGCGCCCAGTACAGGGAAAAAGAAACAGAGCCAAGCTTGTTCTGCTCTTCACAAGACAGAGGTGGTATTGAGACCATTTTAGTTTCTGTAAGGAGGAAGCTGCAGGGTAACTGTTCCAAAATGCTGTAAATATGGGCCTATGGGGTATATGGAAATGGTGCATACAAAGTTTAGGTTTACAGTGCTCTGCAGAAATATTGACAGTGTGAACACAAAGCTGTGACAGTAGTTGTTTCATCTGGTTAGATTAAACAAAAACTGAATATTTTGTTGTTACAGCAAAATGGTATGTGTAACAGAAAACAAACACACTCCCCATCACCTTAAACATGATGCTTATCATAGAAAATCTTAGTGGCAGTATTAATCTGTTAGAATTTTTTTCTCTATCAGGTAGGGCTGAATTTTGCCATTAATCAAAATTGTGATATATATTTTTTTTTTTTACTTAAATTGCTGTTTCGATTCTACCTCTTATTCTACTCTGCACTAACCACAAGCATGTAGATGTTTCAGTTTAGGGTTTAGTTTTTTTCATGATCTTGAAAGCTTGCTTTTTGCCAAAGTCTATTACTGTTTCTTCTGTGTGAAAAGGTTCTTACTTCATCCAGGTCTCTGTAAATAATGTGAATACACTACTAAAAGTACTTCTTCTTACCCTTAGATTATAATAGAGTACTAGACTACATTGTATGTGTCATGATTTAATTTTAAAGGTCTGACCCCAAGATGCAGAAGACCAAACAGAGAGACCAGGGAAAGGTTTAAACAGGTTTATTTGGAATAAAGATGATGCATCCAGTGCTGCTCTGAGCACTGCTTAACAGAGACTGAAAGGTGAGGGGAAGACACTGCGGTTAGTTCAGGCTCAGTGGGAAATTATCATTTTTGGTTTTGCATAGGAGGAAAAGGTTGCAGACTCACTTCTCCAGGAAAGGGTGTCCTTTATGGAATCCAGACTGTGAGGATTGTACTTGAGATTGTCTTGTTTGGTGATGGGTGGACTGGGTTACTCAGACTGTGGTTGTTCCATGGTGAATGGAGAAGTTGACTGCCACTCTGATTTCCTGGGGTACTTGAACAGGCTGCGGTGCTGAAGAACCTGAAGCTCAAATGACCTCTTGGGGAAAGTGGATCCAAACTTCCTGTTTGGAATCCCAGCTCAGTTAGAAGCTCAGTACTTCTTTGGGAAAGTGGGTCCAAACTTTCTCCTGTTTGGACCCCCAGCTCAGTTAGAAGCTCAGTACCTCTTGGGTAAAGTGGGTCCAAACTTCCTGTTTGGAACCCCAGCTCAGTTAGAAGCTCAGCTGAACCTTCCAGAGAGAGAAGGACCGAACAAATCCAGTTTGCAGGTTGACTTCCTGCGGAGAGGCAAAGACAAAAACAAAGTTAAGACTCAGGTTGACAAAAACTCAGCTTGACTCAGAAAAAAACTCAGCTTGGCTAGAGTATCCAAAACTGGCAAACACAAAATTTAGGTTAGACTCAGCTAAACTAAGCATGGCTAGATAGCCCAGTATTGGCAAAACAAAGACTTAGGTTAGACTCTGCTAAACTAAGCATGGCTAGAGTACCCTTTATTGGCAAACACTCTGGCGACGATAGTGGCAGTCAGCAGCTTACGAACACTCCACAGGTAATGAGGGAATGAGCTGCAGGTGTGCAGGGAAAACCAATGAGGACGGGGCACCACCTGGTGGAGGAGGAAAGGAAACACAAAAACAGACCACACAAACTGGATTCCTGACAGTATGAAAATGATTAATGATGTTTTTGAGAGTATTAGATGTATTTTACATTCTGTCCATTAAGTTGCTTTTCTGATGCCACCATCTGACATCAGGTTTGTCAACTCTCACTCCCACTTATTTATGTTTAAAAATACCATGGTGATCAAAATCCAGTCCGTGTTTTTAATACAACCTTAGTGCTAACACACGAGAACAGGTTCATACCCAGTCCGTATTCCCACCTATTCACCTTGCCAGATATTGAACAAAGACAGTTCTTACGAGGTATGTCATTTAAATTTTTTTCTTATCTCATCTGTGCTAGGATAATTCAGTTTTTTAAATTATTGAAGATTTTAAGCAATCTAGTACTTGAGTTCAGATTTGCCTCTTAAACCCATTTTATTTTTCAAAAGAACAGCCACCAAAGAAAAGAGCAACCACATTCAGAGAGGATGTACAGAACAGCTCAGTTATCCAGGCTTCATAAAGCGAAAACCACAGGGATGTTCTCATTTTATTCTTACTTATTAATTTATTCTTATTTTGGCCCATTGAATATGTTAACTTATTTTTCCATCACACATTCCAAATAAAACATCCAGAGAAGCGTTGGCTTGTGTCATGGTGAGTTTTTATAAAATCTACAGCCTCCTAGAAGGTCTGAATTGTTTAGCTGTTTTGATAAAATAATTAATGAAAAAAATAAATAAATAAATAAATAAAATAATGAATGAAGCTTTTAATCCTTAGCCTATTACCAAATATTCATACACAGTGTAGTTTGCATGGGATTTGATTGCACTAGTTCATGTGTCAGTGCCTGTAATCCACTGATAACTTAGTAGTTTCCCATTGTTTATTTTACTTAAACTGCAGAGAACAATTAATAAATAAAGTTGTGGAATTCTTAGCTTACAGTATATTTAAGATGCAAGTATTTTAGTAGGGCCCATTCTGCTTTACTTCAATTCTCTAAAAATCAGAATATAGAAAATAATATATATTGTGAGAAAAATGTTCCAACTAACTACAGATCACTTATTGTTACTCAGTAACATTTACTGTGCTATACAAATCCCACGTTCTGACACTTTATTTCTTTAGTTGGATCCTCTGAAAACTTCCAACCTATCCTGATTGCCTTTTGATCGAACTATTTCAAAATCTCACCTCAAGGTTTGGTGAAAATTTGGCAGCCCAGTGACATCCTCAGAGCAGTCCGGCAAAATATGATTACAACATCCTTATCTGTATTATAGTTGTGTCTTTATTTAGATGATGCACTATATACTGTAAAAGTTTAACAAACCCTTAGCAAAAAGTAGTATACTTGAAGTAAACTCTATTAAGAATACTTAAGTATAAGTATAAGTTTAGAAAGTATACTGAACAATGTACTCAGTGTACTTGAAGTATTACTACAGTAATACTTCTTCGAACTAAATTGGGACAATTTTAAGTTTACTAAAGTATGCTTAAAGTATACTAACAGTATAGTAACAATAAAGTAAACAATAGTATAGTCAAGTAAACTTGTCTATACTATTGTTTGGTTTATGAAATATAGTTTAGAATAAGTAAACTCTAAGTGCACTGCCTGATTTTAAGTATAAAATTAGTGCACTTTTAGTATACTTGAATGAACTACTTTTTGCTAAGGGAAATCTAAACATAAAACTCTACATTTATACATTTATACATTATATTTTACACATTCAACCCCTAAAAATGGGCTGCTGGAAGAAGGATAGGATCCCATTTCTGGGACAGATCAGTTATAGTCATTATATAACAAAAGGGATAGAAATGCATTAATTATCTCGGAAAAGTTAGATTTCTGTTTAGCTCACTTTTTATGATTAGGGAGAGAAAAAAGTCAATTTGTGCTTTTTCATAAAACAATCAATGTACTGCGGTTGAGCGTGTGCCACTGAACTCATATCCGATACAAGGAGAGCAATATTTGACTCTAAGCTGTGTTAGCGCTGCCATAAGTAGTTTAACTGTGACTTTCAAAGTTGAGATTTTCAATTAATTTAAAGAGTGAAAAGATGTGTCTGTGACAAAATTACAAGCATCCCTCCGCTCATCTCTATGCTAAGTTAGCTTAGGCTAAGCTAACTGCCCCAGTGCTCATCCTCACCCACGCTAAGCGGCTGTGGCAGCTAACTTCTTTGTGACCAAGAAAAGTAGATACCAACAAAACAAATTCCTCGAATGTAAGATATCTGACTTTTGTTTAATCTGTGTTTATTATTCTTTGGTTATTTTTATTTATTGTGATATTAATTAGTTATTTTTCCAAAGGCTAGCTTATAGCTGTTAAATGTAGCCTACTGGCAGTTGGTGCGAAATCTTGGTTTGTTTTCTGAATTTTAGTTAGCTTTTTTGATTCTTTAAAATTCATAAAGGTTATGTAGATTACAGCTTGGCATCATTTTCGGTTTTAACATCCTTACACTAATTATATAAGATCTGATATATTTAAGATGACATGCGTAGCAAAGATGGTAATGGTTTGCCATTAACACTTCTGGCACGGTTTAGTGAATTGGAGAATATTTATGAATGTGTTTCTATGTGAGTTTATTTTTCAAAGTACTTTATTTTCTAAAGAGCAAAAAAAAAGTTGTCACTAATATTAGTTAAGGTACCTTATCTAATGTGGGTGATTGGCTGCGAAAGAGGATGCCATTCCATTTTTTTTCAAATTTTACTTTCACCTAAAACACCAACTTTGTCATTCTTTTTCCAGCAGGATTGTTTTAAAAACCTTTGTGTATCCCTATAACCCAACAAAGATTCCTAGATTTATTCTCCATAGCATGAATTCTACATGATTTTCTTGTCGGTTGGGGTCACAGTGAGCTGGTGCATATGGGCTTATTGGGCAAAAAGCGTGCTGCAACTGGGACAGGTTGTCAGTACAGTAAAGGCACATACGAGCATGCACACACACTATACCTAATAGCAATTAAGAGTCACCAATCAATCCCACATTCATCATTTTAAACTGAGCCGGAGAGAACCTGCAAACTCCATGCACCTTAGGCTGACTCTTTCTCTTGGCAAACTGTGCCACAATGTTCCATATCATGAACTATCACCTACTTTATTTTGTTCAAAGGCTCCTCTGGTTAAACATAATTTATCTCTACAACTATTGTCTTGTGTATCTTTTAGTACCTTCTTTTGTTCAAACTGTATGTCTATTAGTTTCCTCTCCTAATCTGACACAAAAAGAGTAAAAAAATAGATTTGTCTTAAGATTACACATTTTAATCTCTAGGTAAGCTGATGTAAGCAACTGGTGTTCAAGAAGTGATTGATGAATATCAAGAAATGTTTTTCATGTTTAATTTATAAAACTTTCCCAAACAAGAAGCATAAATTATACTACTAAATGCTGTGTTGTATTGATTTATACTCCATCCCAAAAGGATTCCTAAGTTGATTAAAACTCTTCTCTTTTCCCCTCTTGTTTGCATTCTAGAGGAAGTCTTTAAGAGATCAGTGGCTGATGGAAGGAAGTCCATTATCTCCCTTGTCACCAAACTCCCAGAACACCTTTTCGTCTCTGTGGGGAACTCATGACCAGGATATGGAAGAGCAGAATGACAAGTACTGTGTTAGCATAGAGATAAATGCCACATCTTTTACTGTCAACATTTTTTCAACCCCTCATATTTTTCTTCACAATCATCTGTGTTGCTCTGTAAAGAATAATAGCATCACTGTTTTCACCCGTACTTACACAGTTGTGTGTCCGTCTCAGGTTGCAGTCGAGTGACCAGCAGGCGACTGTGCAAGCGGATCATGGAATGGTGAGGAAATCACTGAAGCACACATACACTGGGAGTATGGACACAAAAGAGGGGTGGGAATACGTGTAGAACGTGTTTGGTGCATCACCTTCCATTAGGGAGGAAATTTCCCACACAGCCTCTCTCTGGCTCTCAGCCATGTATAATGCATGTCGTCGCTCATTCTACCTTTGATGTAGCACTTTCTGTTGAAAAGCAGGAACTTTATGAATGCACGGCATCCAGTTTCATAAACATTACAGAGCTTGATCCACCCTTGAATAATTGTTTTACAAGCAGTTATGTGTTTGTTCAGCACCTTGCTTGATATTGGAGCAGAAATGCTGTCTGAAGTTTTCTACTGTTGCTCTAGGACGTCTCCTTCAGTTTCTCTTCATTACATCAACCTTCAGCTTGAATTTTCAATTGAAAGATGAGAGACATTATAATTCATTCAAACTCGGAGGCAACATTTTTATATATATTTTAGCATAATTCTTCTGAAAAGCAAGTGAGACTGATAATTTATTGGGAGGTTTTGATATCTGATGTTAGAAGGGGTAATAAAATGGTTGCTGTTTCTGAGAAGAGCTGGAACTGTGCAACTGTTTGCTTTTTTGGACGACGCAGAAGCCTGTTTTAAATGCCAGGGATATACAATGAAGCCACAAATATTTTCATAGATGATTCATGTTACAGATACAGATTGGACAGTCACAAGGAGAATTGTGTTATAAAATAAGAGTCATATTTTTTTCTGACAAGCCATGAGAGATTAATCTTTTCAAATGCTTATTATAGACATTTTCCCTCTTTTTACCTCACAGGAGGCTGAAAAAGTGTTTGAAACCCGAGCAGGTGAGTGGAATTAAATGAACATGAAGCTGACACCTTTTCAAAGTGTTTTCCACCTCTACAGGATTATCTCTTTACTCTTTCTTTATATTGTTTCTACAAATACAGGTGCTGGTCATAAAATTAGAATATCATGAAAAAGTAGATTGATTTCAGTAATTCCATTTAAAAAGTGAAACTTGTATATTATATTCATACATTACATACAAACTCATATATTTCAGATGTTTATTTTGTTTAATTTTGATGATTACAAATGACAACAAATGAAAATCTCAAATTCATCATATCAGAAAATTAGAATATTGTGAAAAGGTTCAAAATTGATGGCCCCTGGTGCCACACTCTAATCAGCTAATTAACTCAAACCACCTGCAAAAGCCTTTAAATGGTCTTTCAGTCTAGTTCTATAGGCTACACAATCATGGGGAAGACTGCTGACTTGACAGTTGTCCAAAAGACGACCATCGACACCTTGCACAAGGAGGGCAAGACACAAAAGGTCATCGCTAAAGAGGCTGGCTGTTCACAGAGCTCAGTGTCCAAGCACATTAATAGAGAGGCGAAGGGAAGGAAAAGATGTGGTCGAAAAAAGTGTACAAGCAAGAGAGATAACCGCACCCTGGAGAGGATTGTGAAACAAAACCCCTTCAAAAATGTGGGGGAGATTCACAAAGAGTGGACTGCAGCTGGAGTGAGTGCTTCAAGAACCACCACACACAGACGTATGAAAGACATGGGTTTCTGCTGTCGCATTCCTTGTGTCAAGCCACTCTTGAACCACAGACAGCGTCAGAAGCGTCTTGCCTGGGCTAAAGAGAAACAGGACTGGACTGCTGGTGAGTGGTCCAAAGTCATGTTCTCTGATGAAAGTAAATTTTGCATTTCCTTTGGAAATCAAGGTCCCAGAGTCTGGAGGAAAAGAAGAGAGGCACTTCATCCACGTTGCTTGAAGTCCAGTGTAAAGTTTCCACAGTCAGTGATGGTTTGGGGTGCCATGTCATCTGCTGGTGTTGGTCCATTGTGTTTTCTGAGGTCCAGGGTCAACGCAGCCACATACCAGGAAGTTTTAGAGCACTTCATGCTTCCTGCAGCTGACCAACTTTTTGGAGATGCAGATTTCATTTTCCAACAGGACTTGGCACCTGCACACAGTGCCAAAGCTACCAGTACCTGGTTGAAGGACCATGGTATCCCTGTTCTTAATTGGCCAGCAAACTCTCCTGACCTTAACCCCATAGAAAATCTATGGGGTATTGTGAAGAAGAAGATACAATACACCAGACCCAACAATTCAGAAGAGCTAAAAGCCGCTATTAGAGCAACCTGGGCTATCATAACACCTGAGCAGTGCCACAGACTGATCGACTCCATGCCACGCCGCATTGCTGCAGTAATACAGGCCAAAGGAGGCCCAACTAAATACTGAGTGCTGTACATGCTCATACTTTTCATGTTCATACTTTTCAGTTGGCCAACATTTCTATAAATCCTTTGTTTTTATTGGTCTTCAGTAATATTCTAATTTTCTGATATGATGAATTTGAGATTTTCATTTGTTGTCATTTGTAATCATCAAAATTAAACAAAATAAACATCTGAAATATATGAGTTTGTATGTAATGTATGAATATAATATACAAGTTTCACTTTTTAAATGGAATTACTGAAATCAAAACTTCTTTTTCATGATATTCTAATTTTATGACCAGCACCTGTATAACCTGCGTAAATACAAAAAATTCGTTTTTAAATAGTTATCTCAGTGATTTGCAAGGTTTTTCCAAAGCTTTTCTCTGTCACAGCAGAAATATGCATGTTTTAGAACAAATTAAATCAACGCAAGTCTAATATTTTTAGTTTATACAAAGATATACGCCTGCTGTATATCGAAATAAGCGTTAATAAGCATAAGCTAAGTGGTATAATGATACGGAGCCGCCTTAACAGGAAAGACTATTGGGCTATTTTAATACCCTTGCCATATATTTGTGCCTTTATTTTAGGGTCTGGTCATAAACTGTTTAATTAGTGTCAAAATTGTATATTTTGGCCGAAACCATATAAAACATCAGAAAGAGGTGCATATCAACTACTATGAAGTGATAAATGGAGATGAGGGTTTTCCATCACTCTGAAAACGTTCTTCTGATTCTTGACCTGCTGGTTACCAGATTGTAACGGCCAAATGTAGTTAATTTATTTTTATCATAGCAGTATCGCCATGTTTAATTCTATCCTCTTGTATTTACTAAGGTTATTTTGTTACATTCTTTGCATATGAATACAATTTATGAACCAAAACATAAAAGGAAAAACACATGTATTTTTACATGAAATCTCAAATTACTTTTTAGTTGATTAATCAGATAAGAAATACTTTCTGATGTCCCTTTGTGCATTAAAATTGCAATAATTATGTAGCCTGAGAAGCTCTTACATCAGGTATTTATGTAACTGAGAAGCAGAACGTAGCTTTCATCCATCTGGACACCTTTTTATAATGCTTGCATGTTCATCTGTCCAAATCCATCTGACCTTTCACTAACGCAAATACACTTTACTGTCTATCATCACAGCAGCTCTGCTTCATTGCTCTGCTGACTCATTTTATTCCCTTTTTTTTCCATTTGAAAGGAATGAATTTGAATGAGAGCTTCCTAAATTAATGACATAGATGATCCTTAGTACAGCTTTGGTCCCTCCTTGTAGCATCTCATGGTATTGGGTTATCAAAAATATAGATGTGTTGATTAAATCCACTACTGTAATACAGTTTATGGTTGTAGTTCAAAATGTATTTTTCTTTCTTAGAAATCAACCACATTGTTTTGGAGAATGAAGACACCATTCCATTTGGATCAGGTGAGTAAAAACAACCTTTAGGAAAGAAAATCCCAATGCATCAAATTACATCCTGATGCTTTATTTCAGCTACGAATCCTCCGGTCCTTCGATCAGCAATCAGAATCAGCAATACTTTAATAAATCCAGAGGGAAATTACTTTTGTTACACGCTCCAGATACAAACATTTATATATATGTATATATATATATATATATATATATATATATATATATATATATATATATATATATATATATATATATATATATATATATATATATATATATATATATATATATATATAAACAATTAATCGCATGAATTGTGATTAATCGATTATTGAAATAATCGGCAACTAATTTAATAATCGATTAATCATTAACTGGAGTATAGAGACTGTAAAACATGCCTTTAATTGACAGAGCAACTCACTTAGAGCAGTAATTATACAAAAATTGTAAAATATATATAAAACTTTTTGATCTAAGATAAATGTTTTCATCTCTTATTATGTTCTGTCCAGAACTGCACAAGTGGAAAAATTTTAGTTCACCTGGTTTGATTTTGTAATGAACGAATCTTTGGCCAAAAAAAACAGGCGAGTCTCGAGTCACCAGTTCTCATGCTGACCACTTCATTAAAAAATAAAATTAATTACTAAATCAAAAGATTCATTTCTACATCACATCACATTTCTACAATTTTGGAAATTGTTTGCTATTGTCTGCTCTTGTTACCACTAGGAAACTGTTATTACCAGTTGTTTTAATCCCCAAAATAAAACTGATTAATACATTTTAGATCGCTATAAAATATTTAGAATTACAGAATTTCTAACAGGTAAGCTTAAGACCACTCAAAATCTCGACTATGAAAGGCGCTTGAGATGGATGGCATAAGTTCTTGTATACGTATTAAGGCCATATTTGGTTATTTCCCAGGCAAGCAGAATTTTAATATTTAGCCAAGAGCACACATAGATCTGGTCTGGGGACCAGTGCATTTCATCTCAGTTGTTTGAGGATGACATGGTTCTGCTGGTCCCCTCCTCCATAGACCTACAGCATAGACTGGGGTGTTTTGCTGCCAAGTGCAAAAGTGGCTGCTATCAAACCAGTTCCTCTGAATTCAAGTCTACAGCCCCATTTATACTATCATTTTGAAACCGTGCCGAGAACGGTCTGAGCACGGTAACCGAGACAACTAATGAGTGTAAATGGAATGCAACTTAACTGGATCGTTCCAGACACAACTGAACCGCACTAAATCTAGTACTAGTTCAACAGTAGGGCTCGGTGCGGTTCAGTTGTGGCTCTGTTCTCTGATAACAACAAGAGTATGAGCAGACCGCATCATCTAAGAGGAGCTCTGTCATTTGGAAGAGGTTGAGTCTCCTCCACATCAAGAGGAGAGAGCTGAGGTAACTTAATGAAGCGTTCAAATATCCTCTGAACGCTTCATTGGAAGGTGTTGCAGGCATATCCCACTAGTAGAAGACCCTTGGAAATGACTACAACTGTTTGGTTAATTGATCCTCCCTGGCTGCTCAATGTTAGAATTGCTTTATATAGATGAGATCCAAGTGTCTCCTCACCTTCTACTTTGAAGAAACTTCTCTCTGTCCAGAACCCTCTCTGGCACTTTTTCAAGGCAGTTTTAATCTGTTAGAAAAGTAGGACGGAAACCTTTAGAAGCTCTAAAGCCTCAGCTGTTTATAATTGTATTACACTTAAGATCAGCAGACACCCTATGAATGGTGCAGCAGTAACACACAGCAGCATCGACATGGAGCTCAGCGGAAAATCTCCTGTCTCTGCTCTTTTTAATGTTAATTTTATTGCATCTCCATGCCAAGCTGGCTGTCATCATGATGGTGTTCCTTATGGATGAACCTGTCGGTATGTGTTGGATCAACAGATCTCAAGACATTTGCATCCTAAAGACAGTGGGTGCAGAGGCTACGGTTCACAAAATGGTAAAACAGTGTAATGAATTTGAACTCACACAGGGTGCCAGAGTGCAAAACCTGCATTTTTTAAAGGGCAGCGAATATACGGATGTGTCAGATGCACGGGATATGGGATGCACTGCAAAAAAATTTAATCTACATAAGTCATTTTTTCTTAAAATATGTGTATTTTATTAAGCAGGAAAATTAGACATTTGGCCAATGGAGCAAGAAAATTTACATTTGTCTTTCAAGTACATATTATCTAATTATCTTATTGGCAAACTGTCTCATTGACCCACTTAAATTGAGGGTATAATACACATAATATAAAACATTTTTACTACTAGGTCATTTTTCCAGTGTGGGGACGCTTTTGAAGAAAGACGGAACTTGAAACTAAGTCTGCCCTTCCTTTTATATTGAAATCATTCAGAGTTAATGTCTCAGCTGTCCAACCTGACTCTCAATTTGCAGCCTGGACATAAAAAAAAGTGAAATACTGGTGATTTAACACCTAAACACACCAAACAATTAGGTGCTAGCAGTACTTTATGTTATCAGGTGAATGTAATTGTGTGTATGCATGCCATACACATCTGTGCAAAGCTTAATTTCAATGATTGCATATATGCGCTAAATTGCACCAAATAACAAATGTGAGTACAGAATAGCAGAGACCATTTTTATGCTCTACTTTGAAAACAAATAGTAGGTGAAGATTTAGGCCCCGTCCACACGAAGTCAAAACGAACACGAAACGCTAATATTTTCCAGAACGTTTGTCGTAAAGACGGAGACGTAAAATAAATGTGATCGTCCACACGAATGCATGAAAACGCTGCAAAATGTATGCCAGGCCTATAAGTGGCGCTGTGGTGCCAAAGCAAAAATAGGCGACGAAATGTTGGGGATGCGCACTAATATTTATACATGGTTGCCCTGCGGGTCCATTTTCGTGGTTCAGTCAAATTCAGGTGCTGAACTATGTCGTCTATATTGCTCTGTTCTTCCTGGAGATATTCCAGAAGAAGAAGATTCTGTTGTAAGCCCGACAGCAGGGTGAGTAGCATTAGCAGCAACCATTCAACACAGTACGGCGCCATTGTTGTTGTGATACTGTGTCGCGCATGCGTGTTTAGAGGCGACGCTATGACACATGCGTGTAAAAAAAAAAAAAAAATGCGGTTAGAGCTTAAAGATGGAAACGCGAAAACGGCGTTTCAAAATCTTCCCACTCTGAAGGCTGAATAAAAAAAAGATCGTTTACAGACCCCCGAAACGCCGGCTTCGTATGGATGAGAGGCTGGTTTGGTGAAAAATTTGTGCGTTTAGGCCAGGGGTTGGCTTCGTGTGGACGGGGCCTTAAAACCTGCTCTTGTTGATGCAGCCTTTCTCCAATTAGCATCAGGGGTCATTTGCATTTCAATAGTGACAGTTAGCAAGGCGGAGTGAATACACAAACTTTCAGAGGGCAGGGGAGCTTGCAGGGAAACCTGAACTTCCCGGTACTTGCAGCTGTATCTCCCACTTCTGTAATCTCCAACGCTGATAATGTCTTGTTGTATCTTATCCCTCTCGGCATCTGTTATCATTTTTGCTTTTTGAAACTTGATATTGGACTACTCTTTATTTACACCCGCTGCTGGAGAAGTTGTCTCCCTCTTTACTTGTGAGGATGCGCAAAATCTCACCTTATTGTAAATACAGATAACGTTCTCTTTAACAAACAGGCAGACCAAAAACAATGCCAACAGAATGCCATAATTCACCTAGAAAACCTTTGTATGCAACCAAAGTACAATAAGTTACTGTTGTAAAAATTCGTAGTCCCTTTTAACATACCAGCAATTTATATGTGACATCTAGCTGTAGAAATATCAGAAAATCTAAGAAATTGTAAACTCAACAATGAAATCTCATAGGTGTGTAGACAGTGGGAGCAGAGTCCCTGCTGCTGACAGTATGCGCATAATAACTCGACTCTGTTGAAGCCTTAGGTTTGCAATTGCACAGATTAAATAAATTATTTAATGTATTTAATATGTTGCTTTATAAGATATCCTTAAAAAGATACGTGAACTAAAGCCATAAGGGGATGGACATGTTCGGCCCATCATCCTGCTCCAATGCGCCCCCTGGCTAACCCGCTACCATTGGTAGTGCAAGGCAGAGTGGAGCCATTGTTTTGTGATGTGCAATCCAAATTCCACCACCCGAATGTTGCATAGTGAATTAACATAAACCGGATTAGGCATTTTTCAAACCCGTTTTTAAGTTTTGATGAATCTGTGGGAATCTTAGCCACCTGCTGTGATTTAGTACTACTGAAGCCCACAAACTCCTTGGTTTGAGTTTGACATTTTGAGGAGTTATATATACATATGTGTTTTTTGAGGGGCTGGATTGTTAAATCTGCATTAGGTCTGCTCTAAAGACCAAGGCGAGAGTGCTAGAGGAAAAAAAAAACCTCCAGACTTTACAACTTCATTATTACTTTAAAGATTTTCCCGTTTGAACTGCAGTTTTATGTGTAATGCTTTAAAACTGATTAAAATCCTGCACATCCAGCAATAGATTCTACATTAACATTAGTGCTGGGGGGAAAAATACGATAAATCGATATTTTGTTCTCCTTTAAGTTACGATAAAAAATGACTAGTGACATGAATTACTTTCAAAAACTAGCATCAAAATGAGCGCACTGCATGTTCCCAGACAGTTTGACGATGATCGCAAAAGAAAGATGAGGTTCTAATGCTCTAAAGAGAAAAATAACTGTGCACAAAGCACGGTTATATTTAATCTCTGTTGCAAAGAGAAGCTCACTGCGCTCCCATGTATCCCTACAGCCTGTTTTGATATTTATTTCATTTATAAACATGCAACAATATTTAAGTTCATTCTTTCATTCTATATTTTGGTTTGTTTTCTGCTATCTTGCTTGATTTAATAAGCCTGCATAGACGTTTTTTATAAACAGGTTTGCACCTTCTTTAAGACACACAGACCTCCTGAAGATTAGGTGAATGTTTCCAGCTAGAAATATCCCACAGTGAGCTAGTTATTTACTTGTGATGAGACATCTAAAAACAAAAAGTGGTGAACTTCTTTCACTTTAATCTGTGGAAATAATAGGAGTGCATTGTTGAAAAACTAAATCTTCATTAACAGAAAATTTGACTAATCGCCCAGCCATTAATTAATAAATGACTAATCCAGCCTTTCTTGTATTTAAGGAATGTAGGAATCACACTTTGAAAACCACTGCAGGAGTTTCACCACAACTTGCTTTTTGCAAGTGTGTGCATTTGTGTTTCCTCCTTAAATAATTTACATTCTCTCCCAGCTTCTAGTCTTTTGTAATGTAAATGTTCCTCTCTTATTAATAATGCATTGACTGTACACCTAAGACAGATTTTAGTATGTAGTATTGCTATATAAAGGTGCCATCCATCAATAGTTCATATCAAAGCACTTAGTGCTAACCCGTGTCCACTCTAACTGGGACGGCCAATGTGCTTTAGATTTTTCCTCCTGGTTTTTGGTCTCAAGCTCTCAATTTTAAGACATTTTTAACATTCCCTGAGGTGCTTCTTCCACCTCTAAGAAGTATAAGCCTCTATTAATTAGTATTGAGCTGATGGCCTGTAGCTCACAGTGTACATGTTTCCTAACTTTACATTATCTATGCATTATTTAACAGATAAAAGATGAATTTACTTTTACCAGTGAGGCATTAAGGTTTACGAATGGAAATAAGTAATTGCAGTACAGCACATTGGTAAACCATGAATAAACATGAACCACCATGCTGCAGGGTTTCCAGGTTAAGCTAGAGTCCATTTTTAGATTTATAAAGGTGACCTGCTGGGGAAGGACCCTGCTGCAGGTTGTGGGATCAGGAGGGGCGCATTAAACGTCCGACTCAGTGGTGTAGGAAGCATTTGAAAGGTGAGGGGGACACCTTAGGAAGGGGAGGAGAGGCTAAAGTGCAGTTTACCAGCTACATGCGGCAGGTATGTGCTTAGATTCTTCAGATTACCAGTCCACGTCACCAGCATGACTAAAAACGTGAGAAATTATCTTAAAATATAATCATCTAATACAAAAAATTACATTTTTGATCTCAAATGTTATTTTTTCCTTCATTTTGTACCTAATAAACTGTTAAAAAAACTGAAGCTTTTTATTTTAATATTTAAATAAAAGAGAGACTTAGGCTACTTTCAATATTCTAAGATTAGTTGCCTCTTTATTGCAAATCAAAACATTGTTATCCTAATTTACACCAGGCTACAAACTAATTTGACTGCAGAACATCAACCAAAATGATCTTACTGCTGTTCATCAGATTTATCAAGGAGTTCAGTAAATTTATCCAAATTGTAGCTGACATGTTGTAAAAGCAGCCCAGGTTACTGCAGGTACGTGTTCACTGTCTCCTCTCTCCGTCTTCCCCTCACCACCATCATTTATCAATCACAGCTGCTCCAGCCTCTGTCCTGGAAAATATCTGCTGCTGTTTGACTCATAATAACACAGGACAGGTGATATTATTAATATTATCTGACTCCAACTTGAAACATATTTTCATCTGATCATTCTTCTCATTTCATCCAAATGTGTAATCCAAAAAGTCCGGCTTCCATCCTTCAGAGAATTTAATTCTTGGTTGGAAATTTGACAGAGCCTGTAATTCACTGCAGACCTTGATGCTTTTCATACCATTTGCTCTCACAGAAAGGGCAGTTACTAAGACTCCCTGCTGAAGACCGTGTGATTCAGTTAGAGACCAACGATGGAGGACAATTGAACAAAAAGGCAACTAAAAATCACTTGTTACCAGATTTAATGAGAATTCTATTCATCTCCCATTTATATATATATATATATATATATATATATATATATATATATATATATATATATATATATATATATATATATATATATATATATATATATATATATATATATATATATATATATATATATATATATATATATATATATATATATATATATAAATGGGAGATCACACTGCTGTAACATGGATTATGCCAGCTGCAGCTAGCTTGTAAAGCTGGATATCATTTGTTATTTGCTTATTATTTGATATTTCATACAAATAACCACAGTAATGTGAAATTCTAAAGAATTAGGACAGTTAGAAGCCTTTCAACAAAGATCTTCAGCAGACAAGAGATGGACTAAAAAAATAATTGTGAAACTATAGTCCCTCTCTTAATGGGCAATAAAGTTTAGTATTTTTAGAATATAACAGAAAAAAACTTTTGCAGAAACTGCAAAGGGAGACATCAGCCTCTGTCAATAAATAAATATCCTAAACCCTTTTATGATTACTTCATAGCTCTTTGTTAATATCTTCGCACCGTACTACTCTTTATCTCTTTAATGTAATGCTTAATTTGAGTGCTTTATTACAATACTACTAACAGATACATTAAGTGACAGGTTTCCATCAGATTCCATTATTTTCTCATTTACTTCATGATATGATGTTGAATGTGTCTACATTAATATACTTACAAACTGAACAATATAATGGTAACAAAAAAAAATTAAATGTATCCATTAATAATGATAATCTATAATGCATAATTTTGCTAATCATGCAGGGAGGAAGATTTTAAGGCAAAGAATACACATTTAATACATACACACAATATAAAAGAAGGGCTCATAAAATCTACAAGTGGTTGCTGGGGGAAAAAAACGCTTGTTACATGTTGGTTATTGTTTATCGGCAGCGTTTAAATTTGTATTCCATATACATTTGTTTTGTTGAATTCATGATGTATTTATCGACTGTTTTTTTTTCTTACTTTCAGAAAAACATGCTGATGAAGACAAAAGGAGTCAGAGTCCACTACAGGGTGAAAATGACGTTGTTTTGACCAATGGTGGAGGCAGAGGTGAAGAAAGCAACGATCACAGCTCCTCTGGGCAGAATGAAGACATCACTGCACCTTTTGGAGTCACAGAAGACCCTAACAACATCAGGGTGGAGCCAGAGCTAAGTGTTACTGTGCCTGCATGCACTCAGGATCCCCATGCCAACAAGAACGAGGAGGAGGAGAAGGGGGAAGATGAAGATGGGACAGTGGTGATAAGAGCAGAGCCTGTGTACATCACTGATGATGGCTCTGGGGACCTTTCTTCTCTGAAGAACCAGCAGGAGTCCACTTTGAATCCAGAGGGAGTCCAGGAGATCATACATGCTATGGAGGAGGTGTCAGAAACAGAAGGAGCTCCAGAAACTTCACCAGAGTTGGAGACTGTAGAAGCAGCTGAGCTCACTGTCAAAGCACAACCATCATCTGAAGATGCAGGAGACATGAAAGGAGGGTCAGAACCAAGCAGCAACACAGAACCTGAAGGGGCAGCACCTGAAGGCCAGGAGGAGAAACCAGAAGATCCAGACAGCCCACCATCGCATTTACACACAAATACTCTAGAGGGCGCCACAGTGGCTTATGTGCCTACCTATGCTGAAGCTCCACTATCCCCTCCTGCGCCACAGTCAGCAGCAGAGACCAAACATCAAGCACCAGCTCCTCCTCAGGAGGCTGAGGAAGCTGTAAATGTGGAGGAACCTGAATCCAAGCTTGGTCAGTTCCAGGAGGTGCAGCTGACTGATCCTGAACCTGGAGAACAGGAGGCCCTTCTGCAGAAGCACCAAGCCCCCAACCTGAGCGCAGAATCTGCAGGATCAAACAGCCCTGTCAGCTCAGAGACACAGAGCCCAAACAAAGCTAGCCAGGGAGAGAAATCCCCCAAACAAAAAAGCTGCCAATGCTGCTCTCTAATGTAACCTTTCCTCCCATCGCCCTGCTTTGATGCATCCATTTCATTTTTCCTGCACCTGTCAACCTCTAACAGGATGCATCTTCTTAGGACTGATATTATTGGGAACAACCGTGTTATACAAACCAAACAGCATGGAAGACTCTTCTTATCCCACATGTTGCAGAAACCAAATGTTATTTGCCTTAATAAATAACTATACATATCTGGTAAAACACATTTTCTTTCCTTTAAACACTAATTCCAAGTAAATCTGTTCCCTTTCATGTTTTACTTTATCTGGAACAATGTAGAGGCGTCATATGCAGTATTGCAGATATTTGAAAAATATCAATTTATTCTTGAACACCTGGAAGTATGAATTCATTGTTTGTGTGAATTGATGTACATACTGTAAACAAAACCGCCTGTGGAACCACAGAGCTCGACCTCACCGCGGAGTGGGGTCATAATTAAACTAACTTCTGTTACTTACTCTGTGTTACTTATTATTGTCTCTGCAGGACCTCATCTGTTCCCATTTTTAAAAAAAACTCGTTTGAAGCCTAATTTGCTCAAATTAGGCTTCTACCCTGTACAGCATTTTAATAATTTTTATAACCATTAAACTTTTCCACATATTACAAACATCAATGGTTTTTATCGGGGTGTAAAACATTCTTGGGGTTTTTATTTGTTTGTTTTTTTATAAATAAAAAGCTGCAAAGTGGCTTATATCTGTGTTCAGCTCTCTTTAATTGGATTCCCTTAAATAAAACTTGGCAATTACCTTCAGAAATGAACAAATAAAGTAAAATAAGTGAACTTTAATCCAAAAATAAGTCCAACTGTCCTGTGAAGACCTCAGAGGTTTGTAAAAGAAGATGAACAAACAGCATCATGGAAATCGGGGAGAGGTTTGAAACAATGTTAGCTTATAAACCAAAAATCCATGCTTTTGTGTCTGTAGGAGCACAGATCTATTCATCTAGAAAATTATTTGTGTAAAACTAAAAAGTTTAGGAAAATGAGCACACCTACAAAGACATGAAGTTAAAATGTAAATTTAGAAGACAATCATCAGCTTCATATAGACTATTATCAGCTTTATATTTATATATATATATATATATATATATATATATATATATATATATATATATATATATATATATATATGAAGCTCTAGCAGAAGTTCAATTGAAGAAACTCTGACTTACCTCCATCAATCAGAAGCTGATCCGTCTCTGAAGCGAGCCAATCAGCTTCAGACTACTCCACCACGAAGCCCAATCAGCGTCCTGCTTCCACTTTATAAACTCCCTCAAATCTCACCCCAGCCGCTATCCTGCAATCGCAATGTCGGATTTCGATTCAGACGACAATTCACCCACCTCCATCCCCTTCTCCGCCATCGCAGCTGAATCGTCCTTCATGACACGACTTCACCTCAACCTCATCAGAGAGTATTAATCCCAGTTGTCACCATCCCTCGTCTCATCGCACTGGTCCGGCAGAAGACCACCATGTTGAGCCCGGTTCTGCCAGAGGTTTCTTCCCAAAGGGGAGTTTTTCCTCTCCACTGTCGCTTCATCCTTGCTCATCATGGACAGTTCACGGTACCTGCATCACCAAGCAAGACCTCTATATCCCGAGTCTGAGTGAAGCCCCGGCGTCAGCTCCCTCAGTCTTCTAGTCCCACAATTCTGCCCAGCAGATCACCTTGTCAACCAGCTCGGATCAAACCACCACCAGTTTCAGGCCGGGGGGAACATCCCTATTCACATTCATCTACTCATGCATGTTAAAGCATAATTCAGCATGAATGTTCCTGCCGAGGTCTGAGCGCCAAAGACTATACTTTCTTATCAATAAATTCTTCTAATTATCTTTTCTCTCTGTGTGAGTTTTTCAGATTGAAATATATATACATGTGTGTGTGTAGACAATTACTGATTTTGAGCTAAGATTGTACCAAATTAGTATTTCAATATTTTATGCAAAACAAATGAAATACATCTCTGGTGGGGTACTTATTTTTTATTACCGGTAGCAAAATTCCAAGCCTCTACACACATAATGAAGTTTGACTTACAAAATGTCCTGAATGACAGATCTACACAGTTAATTTAGGGAAGCAAAGCGCAGCCTGAGGGACAGTTGGTTCAACTGAACAAGAATTGTTTGATTTTGGCCAACAACCACATGGAAGCATTTAAATAGAGTACATTTTCATTTTTTAATAAGTCATCTTAAATTTGAAAATATTTGTAACTACAAGCAGGGACACAACTCCCCTTTAAAGTCCCATTACATGTGCCCCCAATGTAATTTTTATTTTTATAAAAATGTTTAACTCTGCTAATTGTGTTTATTAATGGATTAATTACATAAATAGCTTTATTTGAGACTTTCTTCAACTGCTCGCTTTCTGTTCTTATCAGCTGTACCTCTGTTCCATCTGTGGTGAAGGAGATACAGCAAATAGAGGAAATTTAAACCATGTTGGTTTTCTAGGTTTTTGCAACCTCACTAGTTTGTTTATTCCTACCTGATGCTATTTCTGAGCTCCTCTTTAGCAGAAAACATCACCAACTTCAAGTCTGTGTTTCCCTTACCCAATGCCTGTGTTCTTCTCTGTTAAGTCAGATATAAAAACAAGCACTATTTGCTGTTAGTTAATGAATTACTCAGTTTACTAATGCTCTTTTTCTATATAGATTATATAAAAAAATAATCACTTGGTCTTAGGAAGCTGTCTTTAAATTTTGACCTAATATTAAACCAATCTAATGCTTCCCCTGTCTGTCCTGATGCCTTCTTCTCTTTCTCTCCATCCTTACTGAGTGGAATTTATTTTATACCAAGGTGTTTTTAAAAAAGACGCTTCTTCTCCACATCAATAAGAGTTATCTGAGGTGGCTCGGACATGATGCCCCCTGGATGCTTCCCTCAGGTGGTGTTCCAGGTATGGCCCAGCGGACGACTCATCTAATGTTATCATTTGTGGAAATCAGTTAGTGACTTGTATGGAAGTCTAGTTTTTTTTTTCCCTTGTTTTGTATTCTGCTCTGAAAGGCAAGTGAAATGTTTACGAAACTTTTGCGTTTGTTCATGTAAAACTTTTTTTGTCACTAGAGGCACTGATGTAATAAAACAGTCACTGTCGGCTTTATTCTTCAATTGTATAGACAGAGAGGTCTGGTTTTCAAGAATCAATGTCCCAAATATAAAATTAGATTTTTTTTCAAAGTAAAACAAGATAGAAATAAGGTACAAAAGCTGTGTATTCATTGGCCATGGCATCTGCTTATCATATCAATCTTGTATTTTTAGGGGCAATAAAGAATTATTTGCAGGGATGATCCAGCATATTTGTAGGACAACAGCATAGATTCTCTTTCATCAGCTCAATACTGTATTTCCCAGACAACCTTAGACTTGCTGTCAGTCAATGCTTATCAAAAGTTAACTTAAGTTAGACATGGGGTAAGAAATAATGTGGCAACAATTTAAATATGAATCCTTCAATGATTATATTTATTTATGTTTTAGTTTTAACAGTTCAATGGAACGTAGATGGGGAACTTAAAGAGTTTTTAACCTCAAGCTGCATTAAACAACTCTTGTTTAGACTTCTGTCTTTTTTTTTCCTCCCCACAAACCCAACATCACAAAAAAAGAAAAGCAACCATGGTTTTTAAAAACTGACAAAATATTTGGTATTTTAAAGTCAAAATTATCATCAAATACACCTTGGAAAATGAGCTAGACATGAATTTATTTTGAGGTAACGAACGATTTGTTTTGGGGGCTTTTGTTGGGACCCTGCCCACGCAAGGGATTGCTGTGCAAGGTGATTCACATCGCGCAACCTCTCCACCAACTCATAAAAATAACTCAGCCTGGGATCCACCCTAGCAACAGTTTCTGGAGGTGGTCCAAAAACGAGGTCCACCTGGGGGTACAATGGTTGGATTCCTAAAAAAGCAGTCTGGTAGGCAAACAGATCCAGAGGGAGGTGACGGTCCCAATCCCGTTGCCTCTGCTCAGTCAGAATGACCAGCTGAATTGCCAGGGTTCTGTTGGACCCCTCTGCTAACCCATCACTTTGTTAGTGGAGTGGAGCAGTGTGTGTCTTTTTAACCTCCATCCACCGACACACCTATTTGAAGACACTGGACTCAAAATTTCACCCTTGATCGCTGTGCAGCTCCTCTGGCACCCCGAACTGATTGAACATCTCATCCACTAGCTTGTCGGCTGTGGTAGTGGTGCGCTGATCAGGAATCGCATAATGCTCTGGCCATTTTATTAAATAGTCTATAGCCACAAGCACATTCCCCTGGTCTGTAATGGGAAATGGACCCAACACATCAACACCCACTAGCTCCATTGGGGCACCAACTTGGTATAACTGTAATGGCGCTTGGAGACGTCTAGTTGGGCCCTTCTGTGCTGTGCAATTGTCACAGCGATGACAGAATACAGACTTACAGAATAAGTCCTCACCCTCTACAAACCCAGTGTGCCATAAGTGAAGCCACAACCCAAACCTGCTGTGTTTAATAAACCATGACTGAGTCGCTAAAACTTTGACATTTTTGCACAATGCAATGCAAAAATTATTTTGTCATGATGAAACAGCAGCCCAAAACGTGTGGGATAAAAGTCCCGAACAACATTTCAGACTGCTACCAGAAAAGATCCTGCGGCAGAGCTCAATAAATTCAACAAAGCAAATTTGGTTTCTTCTAAAATATTTAGAGAAGAGACATGCTAATAGTGTGGAGCTCCAAGCTGTATTCTCCAGAGTCTGCAGATTCAATATGAGCAATCTGATGCAGTTTCAATGAGACATTTACCTATTTTCATGCATATAAATGTCATTAATTTGGAGTTTCATAGAATGCTTGGGAAAAGTTGTTTTTTGTCTTTTGCAGGATGCAAAAATGATGCAACAAACTTCCAGAGGTTGCAAGAGCTAGGTTCAACATTTTACATTTATATTGTTTTTCTGTTTTAAATCCATGCTGGTTAAAAGATACGAATAGGTTAATGTTCATGTTTGTTTCAAGGTAGGGTCCCAGTTTCTAAGTGTAGTCCAAACATTTTAACATGGTTGGCATAGGGGCCAGTTCAAAAGCTTAAAGCTGGCTCCTTAATTAATTCTGAAACCAGTTTTGATGAGTGTCTACGATTTAAATCGCTGTG